TGGTGGTTTTATGTCTTTGTCTGAGGCATTTACCACTAAGGAGATGTTTAGGCCCGAAGGTAGAATTTGATGGAGGAAGTCCTGTTATCATCACATATGGGTTTTGTTGTTTCAACACTTTTGGTTTCATTAAACATTTATTCATATCTAGTATATAGTGTACGCATTTACAACAATTTTTCTTGTTCTTCTGAATTTTTCTAGCTCCTTTTGAAGTAGTAGTTGGCACAAGGGACCCTAAATTTATGTTATCTGTCTATCTGCTGGAAACATTGGCTCCACACCATCAACCCAGCCAATAAATGCTGTCCTAGCCAGCAGTATCCATAATCCATGACAGAATATAACAGGAAAAGAACTGGAGGGAACAGCAACAACAGTATTCACTACAGGCTTGATTTGTGCATATTCAGTCAGACTGGATTGAAATTCCGACTCCACATCCTTCATTCCAGAAACAGAGCTTCCTCCTGTTTCAATATTAATTTGCAAACTGGTGGAGAATTAACCATACTGGCAATAGCAGATGGCAGGCGAGAAGTCAACAATAAACAAGACCCTAAATGACATTATTCACCAGACCTCATTCCAATAAATCATTGAGGGACCCCACTCCCACTGTTTCCTCTATCTTGCCCTAGTTTCATGCCTATCTCTCAATGGATGTAGATTTTATTGTCACATATACTCAATTACAGGATTACAGTAAAAAGAGTACAGTGTCGCCACACATGGTGCCATCTTAGGTACAAAGGTACCTAGATAAAAAAAAACAAGGTGCAAAGTAACAAGAAAAACAGAGTTAAAATGTTAAGCATTACCCTCACAGAATAAGTAGAAAAATAAAGCAATACGGTGATAGTTAACATTAAAGTCTTTCTTAATTTGAATGAGAAAATAAAGGAATTAAGTTAAAAGTTCAACAGGCTTTGATGAGTCCTCCGCTAAGAACATAGTACAGCACAGTACAGGCCCTTCAGCCCACGGTGTTGTGCCGACCTATTATCCTACTAAAATCAATCTACCCTGCATACCCTCCATTATACTATCATCCGTGTGCTTATCCAAGAGTCACTTAAAAGTCTTTAAAGTATCTGAGTCCACTGCCACTGCAGGCAGCGCATTCCACATGCCCACCACTCTCTGTGTGAAGAACCTACTTCTGACATCTCCCCTATACCTTCCTCCAATCACCTTAAAATTATGCCCCCTCGTAATAATCATTTCTGCCCTGGGAAAAAGTCTCTGGCTATCCACTTTATCTGTGCCTCTCATCATCTTGTGTACAAGAAGTATATCTAACTCTCTGGGAGACCTCGGCTGCATGTGCTCAATGCCTCTGCCACAGATTCCAGGGGAGCTCCCTCACTGTTTGCTCTTCCCATATTGGGCTGCAATGCCATCGCTGCTGCTGATGCCGCCACTTCCCCAGTCTCCCCCTGGTGCCTCTAGAATATGTCCGTGCGGGACGTTATCTCGCACCGAGCCGACACCACCACGAGCCGACGAGAGAGTAGGCCGAGACCCACCATGATCCGCTGACAGATCAGGCCGAGACACTGCCATGAGCTGCTGAGAGACTGGGCCGACATAGCAGCACAGACACCTCACCGGGTCCACAGGAAGAAACACCAAGACAAGAAGAAAAAATAAAGAGAAGGAAATGAGAAATAAATGGACAGAGCAGACAAGCTCCTGCTGGACTGTCCTATTTTGCTGCCATCTTGGACAATATTGACTCACAGAGCACATACTACCCAGACTAGACTGACAGAAACTCACCATGTTGCAAGTGGTACAAAAGAGCTGTAAGACGAGTGGTGAAGACTGCTCTACATTCTGAAAGAGGGAGGGGTTTGATGTGTTCGGGGTGTCTGGAGTCACTGAGCTACCAGCTAATCCCAGGACAGACCCAACCAGACACAGTTCAGTTAACCTGAGTGTGTGAAGCCTTATGGCACCACAAGGCCGAACCACTGCTGTCCTCCAACTGACCCCAGTTCCTACACTCAACCCTCAGGAGAAATCATTCCCAGAATTAGAAATCCCTCCATCTCAGTCTCACTCTTCTACCATTCTACCTGATCTCCAAGGCCATCTCCTCCGCACCATCCCCAACATTCTCATTTGTCTCTGGAGCAATGTGCTGTCTTCTCCCACATGGAGAGAAGTCAGAGAATTATGAGTGCAAGAATCGCGTTGCAAAGGCTGCGATAACAACTGTGTGGATGGTAACCATTCAGGAAGGACGTGAGAATGTAGTAAGATGATGCTGAGTGTGAGCATTGGTTGGTCTGATGTTGGGTCTCGAGAGAGAGGAACGAATGGGGCTGCAAGGGGTGCAGGTCTGTGGTGTGCTGTGCTGAAAAATATTGGGGATGTCCCTGTCTGGGAGCTGGTTCCTGCAAGAGAGATTACATTCACCTCTCCTGCACTCCTGAGAGGTCATTGAATCTCTAGTGGCACCGAATCCAGGTTCAAGTGACCACATTCTGACTGCTGACTGCAACAGTCACTTCCAGCTCTTGCCTGTTTAGTCAGCGAGGTTGGCTTTATCCTCCCCTCTGCAGGAATTAACATGTCACAACCCCCATAGTACCTTCAGAGAACCAGGCACCAGTCATCCCACTTTGCTTCCTATAGCCTTTGGGAGCAGGGTAGAACACATCAATTCTGACCTCTGCCAGAGTTGTTTGAAGGACAAGTCCTCCCATTCACCAGTGCAGGTCCGATCATGTCTGTTACAAAACCTGGAAGTGAGACTGAGTTAGTTTTTACAATGTGTTCCAGACCCCGTTCTGCTTCCCCACACCTCTCCCTATTCCTGCCGTTGAGTGGTTTGCTCTGGTTAAAAACGCTGCCTGACAATCCTCTTGCTCTCCGGCATCGTTACCCTTCCTCTGCCTTTTGTAAACTTCACTTTGTCCAAAATTCTGCTCCCTGAGCCCCATTCCACACCAAGGGTTGCCTGTTATGCCCCCATCTCCTGGAGGGTGGGATGGTAGGAAGACAGACGTCTGGGCCCGTGGCAGTGGGATCATGTAGCAGCCTATACCAGCCCTGCGATAATGTTATCCACAGCAGGGGAGATGTCAGACAACCATTTGGGCCAATTCAGTTCTTATAAAACGGTGACAAATTCGTTGCCATTTAAGCGTCTCCACTCACTGTCATCATGACTTTCATATGTCAAGAAAACACGCGTGTTGAGGAAGGCCTACCCTCAGGCCGGTCAGAGGCTTCCCATTTGCTCTCTCCACCTGCCCCATCCACGGCACCAGCCTAGTTCATAGAACCCTGGAACTCATTGTTCCAGACTCCGGCCTCCTTTTCTTCAGGGACTCACTGTAGTACCAGCTGTGGCCACCGCACCCAGTGGCACTGCTAGCAAAGGAGACATATTGGCTATTTGATTGGTCAGCATCTCTTGAAGGTAGGACTTCTTCTCAGATGGAGTCGGAAGTCCTGACTCAACCTAATTAAGGGTCAGGTTTCTTTTTACTCAGTCATGCACCTGGATCCCACTGACTGGCCAACATTTATTGCTCATCCTCATTGGCCTTAAGAAGTTGGTGGTGAGCTGCCTTTTTGAACCATTGCAGTCCACATGCTAATGCTGGTAAACTTGCCCCTAACTTTTATGCTGGGGATATTGGAGGGTGTTCCTGTATAAAATTCAGCCCAAAAGCCCACTCACCCATCACTCCAAATTTATTGGTCTACTTTAGCAGGAATGGAATTTTCTGATGGGTGGCACAAAATGTCTAGAAATCAATACAGTAATAATGGAAGAGGTCTGAACTCCAGACATCTCCATGTTTAAGACAACTTGCAGCTCAAAGTTTGGGATTAAGCAGAACTTTGTCTCTTTTGCATATTACTGCATCATACCAGAGGGGAATTCTTGAAGTTTAGCCAGTTGTGACACTTGGTTATAGATTTCTGACACGTTTCTGACATAATTTCTTCAGACTGCAGAGGCTCCACTTTCCATGCTTTTCACTGAATCTACTGGGGTCCAGGAGTCACACTCTCATTCCTGTGGATTTAGGAACTTTCCTTGAGAAATTGTGAAGGCACAGAGATTGCTTTCTGGGAGACTATCATAGGAGGTGAGATGGACTTTGGATGATCATGGTTGGGTCTACAATAATGACTGCCTAATAATGGGGAAGAAAGTGATATGGGTGATGTTAATGAGGGAAGTAAGGTAAAGTCGGCATCATCCCAGAGGATCAAAAGGCTGCTTCTCATTAGAGAAAGGCGACTGGTGGTGGTTTGACCATCATGCCTCAGGCAAGGGGAGGGGTTGAGACGGAGAGTCCTTCATAGCAACCTCAGCTGGTGAGGGAATTGAACCCATGCTGCTGGCGTTACCCTGCATTGCAAAACAGCCGTCCAGCAACTGAGTTAATCAGCCCCCATGAAGGGTGTACATCATGGGCAAGGGGAGTGGTTTGCCTCGTTTAACCCCTAACTCTAATTGCAAGCGACACTTGTGAGTCCCTACCAATGGCAATGCTTGGGCTGGAAGAGGAGGTGTGGGGTTAAAAAAAATCACAGTCCGCTCCCAGAAATGCAGTCTATCCTACAGCAAATGACCGTCATGCAGAAACTAATGGAATAACAGGCAATCCGAGTACTATTCTCCTTCCCGGAGTGCAACAGGCCAGCACACACAGTGCTGCAACATAAACCCTCCCCTACCTGAACAGCTAGGCACTCCATCTGGCATCCACTCCCAACATTTAAATTTTGCAGAGGATCGCTAGCACTGGGTGCTGAGATTCGACTCCTCCTGAGAGTTGTGTTTGTCTATTTCTACCCCTCTGAAGGATTCTGAGATATTTGTATCCTTTTTTCCCCAATGGTATCTGTTATCTCCTGAATCTCAAAATGGAAGGGTCTCCAGTGGGTTAACCTGGGTATGAAAAACAACTGCATAGCACAATAATAATGATGACAATTTGATTTTTCAACAGCAGATATGCCTGGATGTGATTGGCTTGCGATTGCTGCCTGACACTTGAACCAAGGAGCAGGGTTTTATGTCTCCAGAGGCACTGGGAAGGCATTTGGATCAGTGGGCGACTGTAAGGTAGGTAGAACATTGCTGACCTATTGCAGCCAAGCCCAGATCATTACCAATTCAGCTCGACTCGGGAGCTCATTATAAGTGTCGGTTGGGATCTGATTCTAGGAATCCCTACACCATTCCCAGGTCTTCTGATTTTTGGCTGTGCCTTCTTTTAAAGGTGCAGCTTGGTTTAGGATGCAGTTCTACACCATGCTGCCTAAGGAGTGTGCCCTGTGATGGAGATCCAGCAGCAGACAGGGGGTTACCCCCTCTGACTTTCATGTTGCGAATTCTCGACGTCCAGCTTCCTCATGGAGAGTAGGATAGGAAGCTGCGCATTAATGAGGCTGATCCCCATGATCTCGCCACTCCCTTGCCAGAGTCTCATCTGGAACTCTGGCGGAGAATGTTCCCAATGTTGAGCAAGGCCTCACTGGATATCTCACATGGTCTTCCCAGATTTCTTGCCATCTCCCACATTGTTCAAGCCCCTGTATGATTCCGACCTGTGTGACTATTGGTCATCAGGGAGTGTGATTGAATTGAATACAATTTCAGTTACCATTCATTAACAACAGTTACTGTTTTGGGGACTGTGGAGTCCATTTTTAACATGAATAAAATTGTATTCATATTCTCTCCCCTTCTCTCCCTCTCTATCTCTCGATCTCTCTCGCACTCTCTCTCACCCCCCTCTCCAAATCAGACCCAGAATTAACCTTTGATAGCTTTGACTCTTGTTGAGTTTGACACAAATGTGGCCATTTACATTTTTGGGGTTTGCTGTACCTTTTTAGAGTACGTCCTTGGAGCACTGTAAAATTCCACTTATTAAAGCAGCCAGTTGCTGTAAATGTGACAGGAATCCTGCTAAAGGCTACCCGGTGCATCTCAGTTGTCAAGACTGAGGCCCATGGGTCAGGACTGTGGTGAAGTGTCTGAAGTACGTAGATTGATCATAGAGCGCACGTGTAAATACTGACAGCTCAATGAGGGAGAAAATGGGACCTCCTATGACTGATGTGTTTATCTGGTCTGAGAAGACCTAGTGTATGTGAAACTACATTGTGACCTCGTTTTACCACTACCAGGGACATGTGAATAGGTGCTGCCTCCATTCACAAATCCCCTCCAGAGTCAAACTCAAAGTTTTCTTACTCCTTCACCTTTAGCCTGAAGGTGAACTTGTTATTACCTCTACTTCTTAAACATTTATGAAAGTTTGGCTGTCTTTCCCAGGAGACCAGTGGGTTGTCTTGGCAACATGATTTTAATATAAAAGGGTCTTGGGCATTGTTTCATTATGAACACAGTTTATTGTGATCCATGGCCTGAAGAAGAGGAAAGGGAAAAACAAATCTCTGTTTTAAATTTTGGCTTACAATCATCAGCATTGGCTGCCATTTCTTCATGGGCCTGCACAGCATCCTGGGAAAAATGACACCTCGAGGACAGCAGTGTTATTTAACTGGGGGGGAGAAAACATCAGAAAGTCCTACAGAAACTCAGCAGGTCTGGCAGCATCTCTGCAGAGAGAAACACAGAGTTAACTCAAGAAGAGTCATTTTGGACTTGAGATATTAACTTTTACCAGAAGTCCAGTAGAAATTTGTCAAGATTAGTCAATGTTTCTCTCCGTGAGGCCTAGTCAGTTTGTTCATGCTAATTCCCAAAACCCACCTCATGACCCACGTATCAAGCCCCGATGGTACCCAGCTTGTCATATTTCTGTCTCACCACAGGCAGAGGTGCTCACCACCACCAGGATCTCTTCGGATTCCTGGCACCGGGGCCATTTTTAAAGCCCCGCCATTCGTTTAGCCAAATACTGCCAATCAAGATCTACCCTTCACCATACGCGTGGCACCAAATCCAAATGTTTCTCGTGGCACATAGCTAACACTCCATTGCAAATATATGTGAACATTTATAAACCTCTTGCTGTTTAAGAAGTAAACTCACAGTTTTTCCTATCCTTAACATCATCACATCTTAGAACCCTGTTTTAGGACAGCGCGATGTTTATTCCCAATGCCCAATGCAGCCTTACATGTTTCTCATTGTTCGTTACCCAACCATCATGGACTGGAAAACCTTCAAACGGTTGAAAACATTCATTTTTATTCAACAACAACAAAAACAAAGAAAAACACATACAGATAGAAGTTGCATTTATCTTTGTGAACAAACGTGGACTGCTTGCCTTTTGAGCAACATCAGTTTTACAATCAATGAATGATAACTGCACTCAGGTGTCATCTACTGGAACTTAAGTCGTGCCTGGTTTATTTTGATAGATTGCTGCCGGGCCAGGCATACAAATTGTGATGTGCCTCCTGCTCAGTGTTTTCATATCCCAACTGGGAAGACTGCTACTACATTCTCAGCTTTCACGTCCCCTCTTTGCCTGCCCCAGTTATGCAGGGAACAGCATGCTAGGATTATGCTGTACACTCTTTCTGCAGTGTACTGTGAGGCTTCCCCAGACCAATCCAAGCAGTGGAACATCACCTTCAGCAGACCCATTGTCTGCTCTATGACGGGCCTGGTCGAAGCTGGGCTGCATTGTAGCTACACTCAGCCTCAGTCAGGGGGTTGAATAACGAACACATCAGCCACATTTGTAGATGATAACAAGGTGTAGAGCTGGATGCACCTTGTTGTCTCAGATTCTCCAGCATCGGCAGTTCCTACTATCTTTGTAGATGATAACTTAGTGTCCCTGTTACCGTCTTCATAAGTCATCCAACCCTTGAACTGAAGCAGGAACAGGAGAGTTTTCAAAGGTACAGGGATCATGGCAACTCCCAGGTTACCTGGCACAGACTTCCAAAATGGGATACCTGTTATCACAAATGCCTCATACATTGATAGAATGGAACCTTTGTTGACAAAGTCAGTCACAGTATGATATGGGACTCTCAACGTGTTATGCGTACAGTCTATAACACCCGGCACCTGGGGAAAGCCAGCTACATTGGCATAGCCTCCTGTCTGGGCTGCAACAATGACCTCGTAATAGGGAAATGGGTTGAAGTAGCGTGACCTGGGACAAATGGTATCGATCACATCCTTGATTCACTTGTGGGTTGATGTTGCAAGTCCTAAAGCAGCAAATGACACAGTCCTGTGTACAGTGTCCTCAGACATTCTCAGACTGCAGCAACACTGTGCCTCATGGGAAATCCTATCAAAGATGATGGACTCTGAGTTGACTCTACATCCTGAGAGGACCTTCAGGTGCAACTCCCTCATGTGAGGTCTGTTTAACAACTGCTGGAGGTTGCTCTTTATCTGGGTTTCCTACCAAATTGTTCCTCCTCAATTTCTCTGTGCCTTTGTTGCCCTGCTACTACAGTAATGATAACTTCTGCTCTGATCCCAATTAGTTACGTTTCCAATGAACCTATGTGGGGGCTATCAGAAAGGATAGGTTCTTAGTAATGTGAGCAGTTAGAATTCATATCACTCACAAATGATGGTTCACCACAGTACTCCAACACAGTGGGATAAGGATCACCATAGAAAGCTTCTACATGGACTTCTAACATAGGGACCTTATTCAGAAGATCGCAGCAAAGCAGGAGATTGTAAATACTGTATGATTACCAAATCAGTGCTCTCTATCCCAGCATCGCTCAATTAAAGCAGCTTAGCATATTCAAGCAGAATGGCAAATAATTACAAGAAGGATGGAAGTCAGTTTGTGCAGCCAATGATATCCTTCCTTTGCGGCCTGCATGTGCCACTTTTCAGGTCAACTGCAATTACTTTTGCCTCACAGAAATGGCGGCGATCAATGTGTAATTGTCTAGATTATTTGTGACCAGGACTTGTATCTCACTCCATCGGATACATTTCGCCCTGTACAGTGTAAGTGCCTGATTAATGTGATTCCCATTGATAGGCCTTATATTACTCGCCACGTGTGGAGATAGAAAATGATACGTTCACTCTGCCCATTCCAGTTGTGGTCACAGCCATCTTCCTTTTCCCAATGTGCACTTGCAGTTCACATGAGTATAGAAGGCAACGCAAATCACACTCGGCATAGTGAGTCACAAGCTCAGCCTGGTATTCAAGGCATCCCGCCCCAGAACCATTATGTTATTATCTTCCTTGCTCTCTCTGTCAAGCCAATCCATGCTGAACTTCCAAATGTTCCCACACGCGTCTTTGAATTAAAACTTCCTCTTTCAACAATAACCCTCAAGTCCCAGAATTGCAGGTTAGTGGTACAAACCACCCACCATGCTTCATTTTTCCTCCTGCAAAGCCAGGGTGCTTATGATCAATGGTGACACCCCCTCCCACAGTAACCTCTTTTGTTCAATGTACTATCATCTTGTCCCACACTCCAACCTACAAAAAAGGTTGTTTCACCCATCACAATTATCGTCCCCTCTGTATCCCAGCATACTGCCTCCAACCTCCACAGTTGACTCCCCCGTCAAGCCAATGGCCCCTGATAACGTCTTTCAGTGACTTTCAGTGAGCTGAGCCCCAGGACTGACTGTGGCCAACCCCACTGACCAACTTGCTTGGTCCAGATGCCTGTGCAGCTCCCTGACTGACATACCATGACTCCCTGGACCTGCAGGACTGACCGTGGCCTACTCGCCAGACCGTAGTGACATGGACCACCTAACCCTCGCTGCCCCAAGTGGCTGACTAACTGGGCACAAGCTCCTGGATGGATAGCAGACACTGTCCTTGACTTGCTATGCTGCCCCCCGCCCCGACTGAATTCTGCTCCTCTTGAATCGACTTGACTTGACTTGACCTCCTCGTGACTTTGAGACACGGGCATTGGTTGAAGCATATCGAGGGTTACGGCTGCTGGCACATGGTGCAGATGTGAGATTGATATCGCAAGGGGATGTATGTCCAGCCCCTTGATGGATCACTGCTGAAAGCCATCACAAGCTGCCTGGCTTTGTGTCTGCACTAAAAAGAGACTCAAAACAGACGTGAGTGGTGGGCAAATTATCGGAAAGGGTTCTGAGAGACAGGATTTATGATCACTTGGAAAGGCACAGTTTGATTCGTGATAGTCAGCATAGATTTGTGAGGGGTAGATCATGCCTCACAAACCTTATTGAATTCTTTGAAGAGGTGACCAAACACATGGATGAAGGTGGAGCAGTGGATGTGGTATACATGGATTTAAGTAAGGCGTTTGATAAGGTTCCCCATGGTAGGCTCATGCAGAAAGTAAGGAGGCATGGGATAGGGGGAAATGTGGCAGATTGGGTTCAGAATTGGCTGATCCTTAGAAGACGAAGGGTGGTAGTGGACGGAAAATGTTCAACATGGTGCTCAGTTACGAGTGGTGTACCACAAGGATCTGTTCTGGGTCCTCTTCTATTTGTGATTTTTGTAAATGATTTGGATGAAGGAGTGGAAGGGTGGATTAGCAAGTTCGCGGATGATACGAAGGTGGGTCACGTTGTGGACAGTGCGGAGGGCTGTTCTAGGTTACAAAGGGACATTGATAGAATGCAGAGCTGGGCTGAGAAGTGGCAGATGGAGTTTAACCCTGAAAAGTGTGAGGTGATTCACTTTGGAAGGACAAACTTGAAAGCAGAATACAGGGTTAACAGAAAGATTCTTGGCAGTGTGGAGGAGCAGAGGGATCTTGCGGTTCATGTTCACAGATCCCTGAGACCTGCCACCCAGGTGGATAGAGTTGTTAAGAAGTCGTACGGTGTGTTAGCTTTCATTAATAGAGGGATTGAGTTCAAGAGCCGTGAAGTTATGCTCCAGCTATACAAAAGCCTAGTTCAGCCACATCTGGAGTATTGTGTCCAGTTCTGGTCACCTCATTACGGGAAAGATGTGGAAGCTTTAGAAAAGGTGCAGAGGAGATTTACCAGGATGTTGCCTGGAATGGAGGGAAGGTCTTATGGGGAAAGGTTGAGAGAGCTAGGGCTTTTCTCTTTAGAACGACGAAGGATGAGAGGTGACTTGATAGAGGTGTACAAAATGATCAGAGGTATAGATAGAGTAGACAGCCAGAGACTTTTTTCCTAGGGTGGAGGTAGCTTTTATGAGGGGACATAGTTTTAAAGTGAAAGGAGGTAGATATCGGGGAGGCGTCAGAGGTAGGTTCTTTACTCAGAGAGTGGTAGGGGCGTGGAATGCATTGCCAGAGAGGGAAGTGGAGTCAGCCTCATTAGGGGCATTTAAGCGGCTATTAGACAGGCATATGGATGATAGTATAAGGTAGCGGTGGAGGTTAGATAGACCTTAGGTTTAGGCTAAAAGTTCGGCACAACATCGTGGGCCGAAGGACCTGTACTGTGCTGTACTGTTCCATGTTCTATGTTCTAGAAGTACTGGGAGCCTTTAAACTCAATAAGAGGGCAAATCACAGAAAGGCAAAGTAGAGATGTCGTGAGTCTCAAACTCAGCATAAAGCGAGCGACTGCTAAGAGAGTGCCATGAGGTGCACCCTGGTTGAATCTATGAGATGGATGCCTTTCCCTTCACACAAAGTGCCCTTTGGCAGCATTACAATGAAAGGTGCTGGTGCACTCCAATAATGTAAGTGGTTTGAAGACATAATGAGCCTGCAGGGAGGCTAGAAGTTCAGAGGGAATGGGTGGCCATTGCCTGGGGAGCATGCCCTGTGGTTGTTGGTATCTGATGTCCAAGATAGAGGATTGGAGGAGCAAGCTGTGAACCAGAGACTTTGACTTGGGGAATTATTATTGAATGGTTCCTGTCCAGCTCATAAGTCATCCAACACTTGAACTGAAGCAGGAACAGGAGAGTTCTCAAAGGTACAGGGATCATGGCAACTCCCAGTTGGGAAAATAGGAAACATCATATAATTGAGGCACGATCAGGTACTAATGACATGCTGATACAAACAAATGAATGCCAATATGCCTTTCTCCACTCACTAGTGAGATTCTCAACTCACCATTCAACACTTGGTTGGAGAATGGGACTTTTTCCTTGTGATGTCCAGAATCTCATTCTTGCTAATCTCCCCTGACTTTTTTTCCTAACTTTGTCACCAATGCATATAAAATCCAGATGGGACTGGACAGGCTGGATTTGGGAAGAATGTTCCCAACGTTGGGCAAGTCCAGAACTAGGGATCACAGTCTACAAATAAGGAGTAAACCATTCAGGACTGCGATGAGGAAGAATTTCTTCACTCGGACAGTTGTGAACCTGTGGAATTCTCTCCCACGGGAAGCTGTTGGGGCCAGTTGATTAGATATATTCAAGCGGGAGCTGGACATGGCCCTTGCAGCTAAGAGGATGAAGAGGTATGGGGAGAGGACAGGAATGGGATACTGAGGTTGCATGACCAGGTATGATCGTATTGAATGGCAGTACAGGCTCAAAGGGCCGAATGGCCTACTCATGTACCTATTTTCTATGTTTCTATGCTTATATCATTCAGGGACTGGGAAGATTCCACCCTCTGTTTCTTTCTCTCCACAGATGCTGCCAAGCATTTCTCCAGCACCTTCTGATATTATTTCAGATCTCCAGCTTCTGCAATACATGGCTTTTATATTAATTATCTGAACGCCACCACAAAACTCAAAAAATATTTGATTTGTTTGTTTTGCTTTATTCAGGGTTCCTATTACTAGACTGCTGTGGATGATATAATTGCCCTGTTTCTTGTTGGCAGGCAAATTCAAAAGCCACACATTCACCATGGAAGAAAACCCAACAGAATATCCCATAAGTGGTGAGTGCTGCAGAAAGCCTTTAATACCAACCAGCATTGCTGCTTTTACAGTAAATGATTGATGTGGTTCGTAAAGAAACAGGCAGATAATCTGACATCCTCAAAATTATCTCTTTGGTTGAGGAGAAGAGTGCATGTAACAGAAAGCCACTGTCAAAGACACAAAAATAAGTGAGAAGGAAAGTTAGCTAGAGACAGAAAATGTAAGTCAGTAATGTACAGTGCTTGTGACCAGGAATGTAAAACCGTAACAGTAAACCAGCAGCCCATTTCCTATTTCCAATGAATTTTAATGGAGATAAAATCATAAAGAGGTCTAAAACAGGCCGTCCATTTATTTCACATTTATTGCACAGAACCAAGAACGACATTACAGGGTGGGAGTAAAGTGGAACTCAGCAGAATTACAGGAAAGGACATTGCACGGATTTCATTTCATTTCAATTAATAATGAAGGGCAGGAAATCTGCCATCCTCACCCTGTCTGGCCTACATGTGACTCCAGACCCACATCAATGTGGTTGACTCTCCACTGCCCTCTTAAATGGCCTAGCAAGGCACTCATTTGTATCAATTGCTACAAAGTCTCACAAAAGAAATGAGACCGACAGACCATCTGGCATCGACCCAGGCACCGAAAAAGACAATGGCAGAAACAGTAAAGTCCTCCTTGCTAACATCAGGGCACAGGTGCCAACATTGGGAGATCTGTAGTCAAGCAACAGCCTGACATAGTCATACTCACAGAATCATACCCTATAGACAATGTCCCAGACACCACCATTACCATCCCTGGATATGTCCTGTCCAACCAACAGGACAGACCCAGCAGAGGTGGCCGCACAGTAATATATAATAGGGAGGGAGTTGCCTCGGGAATCCTCAACATTGACCCTGGACCCCATGACATCTCATGGCTTCAGGTTAAACATGGGTAACGAAACCTGCTGCTGATTACCACGTACTGTCCTCCCTCAGCTGATGAATCAGTACTCCTCCATGCTGTACAACACATATAGGAAGCACTGAAGATGGCAAGGGCATGAAATGTACCCTGCGTGGGGGATTTCAATGTCCACCACCAAGAGTGGCTTAGCAGCAGCACTAGTGATCAAGCTGGTCATGTGGTGGGTGGTGAGGGAACCACCAAGGAGGAAGAGCTTGACCTCATCTTTACCAATCTGCCAGCTGCAGATGCATCTGTCCATGACAGTATTGGTAAGAATGACCACCGCTTTCACATTGAGAATAACCTCCATCATGTTGTGTGGCACTATCACCATGCCAGGTGGGACAGACTTTGAATAGATCTAGCAACTCGAGACTGGGCATCCATGAGGTGCTGTGGGCCATCAACAGCAGCAGAATTGTACTCCAGCACAATCTGTAACCTCATGGTCTGGTATATTCCCCTACTCAACCATTACCATCAAGCCAGGGGATCAACCCTGGTTCAATGGAGAGTACAGGCGGGCATGCCAGGAGCAGCACCAGGCATATCTGAAGATGAAGTATCAAACTGGTGAAGCTACCAACAGGACTACTTGCACGCCAAACAGCGAAAGCAGCAAGTGATAGACAGAGCTAAGTGATCCCACAGCCAACGGTTCAGATCTAAACTCTACAGTCCTGCCACATCCAGTTCAGAATGGCGATGGACAATTAAACAACTCACTGGAGATTGCTCTACAAGTATCTCCAACCTTAAAGATGGGGGAGCCCAGCACATCAGTGCAAAAGATAAGGCTGAAGCTTTCACGGAAATCTTCAGCCAGAAGTGCCGAGTGAATGATCCATCCTCCTCCAGTGGTCCCCAGCATTACAGATGTCAGTCTTCAGCCAATTTGATTCATTCCACGTGATATCAAGAAACGGTTGGAGACACTGGATACTGCAAAGGCTATGGGCCCTGACAACTTTCTGGCAATAGTACTGAAGACTTGTGCTCCAGAACTTGCCGCTCCCCGAGCCAAGCTGTTCCAGTACAGTTACAACACTGGTATCTATCTGACAATGTGGAAAATTGCCCAAGTATGTTCTGTACACAAAAAGCAGGATAAATCCAACCCAACCAATTACCACCCCATCAGTATACTCTTGATCATTAGTAAATTGATGGAAGGTGTCATCAACAGTGCTATGAAGCAGCACCTGCTCAGCAGTAACCTACTCAGTGACGCCCAGTTTGGGTTCTGCCAGGGCCACTCAGCTCCTGATCTCATTACCATCTTTGTTCAAGCATGGACAAAAGCTGAATTTCGGAGGTGAGGTGGGCGTAACAGCCCTTTACATCAAGGCTGCATTGGACTGAGTGTGGCATCAAGGAACCCTAGGAATTTTGGAATCAATGGCATCAGGGGGCAAACTCTCTGTTGATTGGGGTCATATCTGGTAGATAGGAAGATGATTGTAGTTGTTGGAGTTCAGTCATCTCAGCTTCAAGATATCTATACTGGAGTTCCTCAGGGTAGTGTCCTTGGCCTGACCATCTTCAACTGCTTCAAATATTACCTTCCCTCCATCACAAAGTCATAAGTTGGTATGTTCAGCATCATTCATGACTCCTCAGACACTGAAGCAATCCATGTTCAAATGCAACAAGATCAGAAAAATATCCAGGCTTGGGCTGACAAGTGGCAAGTAACATTCACGCCACACAAATGCCAGGTTATGACCATCTCCAATAAGAGACAATCTAACCACTGCCCTTTGACATTCAATGGCACTACCAAGGTTGAATCACCCGTTGTCAACATCCAGGGGATAACTGTTGACCAGAAACTTCCTCAAAGCCTGTCCGCCCAAGGCACAAGTCAGGAGTGTGATGAAAAGATCCCCACTTGCCTGGATGGGTGCAGCACCAACAACACTCAAGAAGTTTGACACCATCCAGAACAAAGCAGCTAGCTAGAGCAGCACTACATGCACAAACATACACTCCTTCCACTTCAAACACTCAGTAGTGTGCTATCCACAATCTGTACTGCAAGTGTTCCAAAGATCCTCAGACAGCACCTTCCAAACCCATGACCACTTCCATCTTGAAGGATATGGGCAGCAGATACATGGGAGCACCACCACCTGAAAGTTCCCCTCCAAGCCACTCACCATTCTGACTTGGAAGTTAAGCGTCGTAGCTGTCACTGGGTCAGAATCCTGCCGTATCCTCGCTTACAGCACCGTGGATGTACCTATTGCACATGCATTGCAGTGGTTCAAGAAGGCAGCTCACCACCACCTTCTCAAGGGGAACAGGAAATGCATAATTAATGCTGGCCGGACAGCAACGCCCATGAATAAAACGAAAATGCTGGTTAAAGAAGATTCTAATAGTTCCGGCTTAAACCAATTTCCAATAGGGATCAGTTGAAATGAAGATTACTGACCGAGACCAGGGGGATGCCACATTCTGACTGTAAAGAGAGGTGAGACTGAGTTTGACTGAGACTGCAGAGGGCATTCAAATTCAGCATCGGAGCAGAGGTGGAATTTCTACGCTCACACGCTAGACTCAAACTCTTACGTTTTCATGTTGGATCCACAAAATAAGAATCTGGCCCTTTTGCAACTTTCAAAAGGTGAGCCTGCCTCAGAACCTCATTCCCACCATTTTTGTCTGTCTTTGGAAGATGTGTATTTGGGTTTTATGACTCATGATGCCATGCAGGAGGAGTGTGGGTGTAGAGGTAGCTGGTTAGAAAGCTGCTGCAGTACTTGAGAACAACAGCCCAGCTCTCAAGATCAGTCTGATGCCTCTTTAGTATCAGTCCTCAGCCCATCCACCTAGCAGGCTCCCTTGTTTTCCCATACTCCCCTTCTTTTTTACTTGATTGTTGGGATATATGTGTCCCTTGTTGAGTCAGCATTTGTTGCCCATTCCTAGTGCCCTTGAACTGATTGGTTCTTAGGCTATGGCAGGGCTAATTAAGAGTCAACCCACATTGCTGCTGTGGGTCCGAAGTAACATATCAGCCAGATAAGAAAGGTAGATTTCTCTTCCTAAGTGACATGCGTTCAAGTTTCATTAGCACAGAAACTTCAGAATTGTTTCACTCTGATGTTATGGGTGTTGCGAATGAAGCAGCACATTCCCATAGGATCTTGTGAGCTGTCCAGTAGAAAAGTTCTGATGAAGGCAAAAGCCACTTTCAATTTAATGTTATTAAGTTGTTTCCAAGCTGACTCCTGGCAAGTTGTTTTATAACACCTTTTCCATTTTGCAATGAAATATAATGCTTCTAGCAACAGACGCTCCGTGCTTTTGGAAACAATTAATAAAGTTGACATTTCACTGCTGGATCCGAGCTTCCCACATAAGTAGTTGTCACCTTCATTGGTCCTCAAAAGTAGCCAAAATTAACAACACGATCTGCAAGACCATCTAAAACATGAGCTGTAGGAAATTCATTACAGGCCTGTCTGAGGACCAAATGGCCCATTTTCATGCAGTCATTGTAAAAAATGTTATCAATTTAAAATGCACCAAACATGTATTTCTTGAGGCATTGTTCTTCATCACAATTGAGTAAAAATACATCTTGGAAGGTCGAATGCAGGAGGTAAATATACAACAAATGGAACAACCCTTAGAAGTGTTAACGTACAGAGGGATCTAGGCATATAGGTCCACAGTTCCCTGAAAGTGCCAATACAAGTGAATAAAGTGGTCAAAAAGGCTTGTGGCATGCTTGCCTTCATGAGTCAGGTCATAGAGTATAAAAATCGGCAAGTCATGTTGCAGTTGTATAGAACTTTAGTTAGGCCACACGTGGAATATTGCATACAGTTCTGGTCACCACATGACCAGAAGGATGTGGAAGCTTTGGACAGGGTACAGAAACGGTTTACCAGGGTGTTGCCTGGTTTGGAGGGTATTAACCATGAGGAGAGATTCAACATACTCAGTTGGTTTTTAGGAACAAAAACAGAAGTTGCTGGAAAAGCTCAGCAGATCTGGCAGCATCTGTGAAGAAAAAATCAGAATTAACATTTTGGGTCCGGGGACCCTTCCTAAGGACTGATGGTAGCTGGGAAAACTTCATTTTATGTACAGAAGATAGGGAGTGCAAGGGGGTAGGGAATAAACAATAGGTGCAGATAGAGCCCAAAGAGAGAGAGAGATGTTGGATAGACATGAGAGTTGATAATGATCTAGCTAGGAGTGTGAATAGCTGTTAATGGGGACTGTTAGTAACTAACATTAGGAAGTGTGTAAAGGCAGGCTGTGTGGGTTTGGGGCTAAGACATGGGAGAGTTTAGGTCCTAAAATTATTGAACACGATATTGAGTCTGGAGGGCTGCAAGGGTCCCCAGTTGGAAAATGAGGTGTTGTTCTTCCAGCTTGCATTGAGCTTTGCTGGAACACTGCAGCAAGCCTGAGACAGAGATGTTGGCCAGGGAACAGGGTGGTGTGTTAATGTGGCAGGCAACTGGAAGCTCAGGGTCTTTTTTGCAAGCAGAATACAAATGTGCTGCGAAGCAGTCACCCAATCTACGCTTCCTTTCCCCAGTGTAGAGGAAACCACATTGCGAGCAATGAATGCAGTAGGCTAGATTCTGGGAAGTGCAGGTGAAGTGTCTGGTGGTGGCAACTCGCTGGAGGTGGCGGAAATGGCGTCTGATGATCTTTTGGATGTGGATGCTGGTGGGATGGTAGGTAAGGACAAAGGGAACCTTATCACTGTTGCGGGAGGGAAGAGACGGGGTGAGGACGGAGATGGGTCAGACCTGATTAAGGGCCTGTCCTCATTAGTTTTCCTTCAACTTTTGAACCTCTCAGTTCTGGTATCCTTGATCACACATATCTGGAAATGAAACCCTGTCAACATCTTACTTCACATTGGCACCTGTGTACATACTCCATCCATGTAAACACAGTGCTGCAGTTTGTACATTCATCTATACGAGCACAGTACTGTGATATGCACTTACAAAAATGGTCCTGCCAGCACCTAACTTGATTTAGAGTCTGATGAGCCTCTGTTCACAACTGTCTTGTGAATGTTCAGGTACAGCTGAGTAAACAGTTGACTTTCTTTGAATGCCGGTATTGTTAACCACAGCAAAGCTTTATTAATGATTCCAACAGTGATCAAAAATCCACCGGCCTGGGAAATGGGAATATATGGATCAGGAGTCCTGATCATCCTGATGATCATTGGAGTGAACCTCTGGAAACTGTGGAAATCTGGACATTATCCTGCTCCCTCTCCTTTCCCAAATTACGATTACAGATACTTGGAGCAGAAGTATGGAACATCATACTCGGAGGTTCGACAAAAGGTAAATCTGTCAATTCTCACTAATAGTATACCCCAGCAGGGTTAATCTTATACTGCTTGGACAGTGATCTATGAGAGTGCTTTGGACCCTCTTTAGGCAACCTGCTGGATTTGAATTCTGTTCATTTTTCCAAAGTGAGTTGGATATAGAAAAGAAAAACCAAAACTTGCATTAGAAAGAAATGGTGGATGAAACTGCAACTATGAAAATAGCTGCTTCAAGAGCTAGGATTTGGACTATGGGCCAAATGGCTGTCTCCTTTTTGGTACTTTAGCAAAAAATTTTTTTGAGCATCAGAGACTTCCATTCGGCAAATATTTTGGAGAAGCTGGGACTATGAAGCTTGGGGAGGTGATGGCCTAGTGGCATTATCACTGGACTGTTAATCCAGAGACCCAGATTATGTTCTGGGGACCCAGGTTCAAATCGTGCTACAGCAGACGGTGAAATTTGAATTCAATGAAATATCTGGAATTAAGAATCCAATGATGATCATGAATCCACTGTCAATTGTCAGAAAAACCCATCTGGTTCACTAATGTCCTTTAGGGAAGGAGACTGCCATCCTTACCTTGTCTGGCCTACACATGACTCCAGACCCACAGCAATGTGGTTGACTCTGAACTGCCATGGGGGCAATTAGGGATGGGCAATAAATGCTGGCCAGCCAGCAACACCCTCATCCCATTAATGAATAAAGGATTCTCGTCAAAGAAGATGATTATGGAATGGAATTTGATGGAGCTAGGAGACAGAGAGTAGTGATAGAGGGTTGCTTTTTGGACTGGAGGTCTGTGACTAGTAGTGTACCTCCAGGATCAGTTCTGGGTCCACTGTTGTTCATCATTTATATAAACGGTTTGGTTAAGAATATAGGAGGCATGGTTAGCACATTTGCAGATGACACCTAAATTGGTGTTTTAGTGAACAGTGAAGAAGGTTATCTAAGAGTTAAATAGGATCTTGATCAACTAGGACAATGGGCGAAGGAATGACAGGTGGAGTTTAATTTAGGTAAGTGTGAGGTGTTGCATTTTGGTAAGACAAACTAGGGCAGGACTTACACACTTAATGGTAGGGCTCTGGGGAGTGTTGTCAAACAGAGGGACCCAGGGGTTCAGGTACATAGTTCCTTGAAAGTGGCATCACAGGTAGACAGGTTGGGAACAAGGCATTTGGCACACTTGCCTTCATTGGTAAGAGCATTGAGTATAGGAATTGGTACAGCATGCTACAACTATACAAGACATTGGTAAGGTCACATTTGGAATACTGAGTACAATTCTGGTTGTGGTCCTATAGGAAGGATGTTATTAAACTGGAAAGGGTGCAAAAATGACTTACAAGGATATTACTGAGACTGGAGGGTTTCAGTTATAAGGCGAGGCTGGATAAGCTAGAATTGTTTTCCTTTGGAGCACAGGAGGCTGAGGGGTGACCTTATAGTGGTTTATAAAATCATGAGGGGTGTAGATAAAGTGAATAGTCCCTTTTTCCCAGATAAAGAGAGTGTCAAAACTAGAGGGCATAGGTTTAAGGTGAGAGGGGAACGATTTAAAAGGGACCTGAGAGGCAACATTTTCACACACACATTGGCGTGTATATGGAACGAGCTGCCAGAGGAAGTGGTAGGGACAGGTACAATTACAACACTAAAAGACATTTGGATAGGTACATAGATAGGAAAGGTTTAAAGGGATATGGACCAAATGCTGGCGAATAGGACTAGTTCAGTTCAGGAAACCTGGTCAACATGGATGAGTAGGGCTGAAGGGTCTGTTTTTGTGCTGTATGATTCTATGTTCAAAGACATAAGAGGTCTGGAATGAGTCAATGGGGAGAAACTATTGATAGAATTGTTGAAGATATTGATTTAAGATAATTGGTTAAAAAAAGACGTTGAAGTGAGGGAAAATGTTTTTACACAATGTATCTTTCGGATCTGAATGCATTATCTGAGTATGTGGTGGAGACACCTTCCATTGGACCTTCAAAAGAGAATGGAACAATTATTTGAGGAGAAAAAAAACCGCAAGGCTACAGAGAAAGGTGTGTGAATGGGAATAGCCGGGTTGCTCTTACAAAGTGCCATCACGAATATGAAGGAGTGAATGGATGCCTTCTGTCTGTCCATATTCTATCATTCTATGATCATTATAATGAGTGGCCAATGCATTCATGGGGCTGTGGGTTGCACCTACCCTCATTGGGCACAAGTACCTCTCCTGGACACCCAGTATTCAGAAGCGACAATCCAGTTACTGCATGCAGGCGTCCAAACTGCATCATTTTGACTTAATGGTAGGGATCTTATCACTGACCAACAGGTGCTAGCTCCAGCTAACTAGCAAACATTATCTTATTTTCAAGAATGACAGAAATTAGGAAGTTTAGCACAGAATTTCTAATGAAATGCCAACTTCACAATTGTTTTCTCAATTTTGCAATCATCAGGTGGGTTTTAAATGTAAAAAAAAAACTGCTCAGATCAACTGGCAACAGAACACATAGAATGTGGATGCACTTCAAATTTGTACTTTTCAGAGACAGCCTTAACATTTATATTAAGTCTTTAACATGGTTACAATTCCAAGGGAATTTCACATGAGAATAATCAATCAGAATTTGACACCAAGCCAATGAGGTGATATTACATTATCAAAAGCCTCGTGAAAGAAGTATGTTTGAAGAAATGTTGTAAAAGGCAAAGAGGCACATCGGGCACACAGAGATCTCAGAGGCCTGTAATGTCACAGGACATTTCCGAGATAGGGAGGAGGTCAATATCATATCATGATTCGGAGCTCAAGGATGTTCTTGCACCACAAATTATAAGCAACCCAGCACGTTATTTTCCTGATGTATAATCCTTTACCCCTTTGTTTCCAGGTCCCAAACTGGGCCCCAGGGGCAGGGGGGGTGGTTTGTGGGGGAAAGTGGGGCTAACAATCACTCAATGGGATTTTCACAGATGTGTCCCCCTCGGGTGGCATGAAGACACATTCTGTGTGTGATTGAGGGTGGGACAGGCTCTTCAACCTGGAGAACCAATCAACAACCTTTCAAATTAATACAAGCAGCGTGCTGCAATAAAGAGTAAATAACTGAGTGGGAGTTTCAACATAGAGGTTACTGCTCACCAAGCTTTTTCAAGTCTAAAGTGAAGAACAACACAGCCAGGCCACAACTTTTGGGATTGGGCTCTCCCTCTATAGGGTGGCCTTTCACTATATCTAGACCAAGGCAAGCTGGCTAGGTACCCCTCTCCAAGCAGTTAAAACCACCCACTATCACTCCAGGAGACAACAGAAAATCCCAGGCAACCTTATTTCAGAGACCTTAAGAAGTGTATTAATGAACTAAATGGCTGCCTGCCTCAATAGTGCAAGTCACCTGCACTTGCTACTGTGCAGAATCGGGTTGGGAATCTAGCACACTGACTGGCATTGGTATCTATAGGGGTAGGCAATGGCCTAGTGGTATTATCGTTGAACTGCTAATCCAGAGACCCAGACAACATTCTGGGGACCTGAGTTCAAATCCCACCGCAACAGATGGTGCAATTTGAATTCAATATTAAATTCAATTAAGAATCTAATGATGACCATGAATCTGTTGTCTATTGTCAGGAAAAACCCATCTGGTTCACTAATGTCCCTTAGGGAAGGAAACAGCCATCCTTACCTGGTCTGGCCTACATGTGACTCCAGACCCACAATGTGGTTTACTCTTAACTGCCCTCTGGGCATTTAGAGATGGGCAATAAATGCTCGCCTAGCCAGCAATGCCCTCATCCCATGCATGAATAAAGGAATAAAATGAAAATAAAGGAAAAAAAACCTTTGAGTTCCATCCACATCAGTTCCCAAACTTGGCAGTGGCTAAAACTTCTGCCCATCATTCCACTGGTACCAGTTATCCTTCAAATCCTGGCTCATGTGAGTCAGAACAATGCAGTAAAAATGTGATATTATTCTGCTGCTAAGTTGACAGGTCCTTCATTTAAGTGGCCACAGCATCTCGCTGTAGTGAGCAAGGCCTCATTTCCATACTGAACGTTATTAAATTTAGTTTGATATATCATGCAAAAGCACGCTCTAGCATTTCTAGGTAATGAGTTGCCATACATCACAGGACTTAAAGCAATTACTGAATGTAATTGTGCCAGGAACCTGGGCTCAATTCCACCCGAAGGCAACTGTCTGTGTGGAGTTTGCACATTCTTCCCGTGTCTGCGTGGGTTTCCTTTGGGTGCTCTGGTTTCCTCCCACAGCCCAAAGATGTGCAGGTTAGAGTGGATTGTCCGTGCTAAATTGCCTATAGTATCCAGGGGTGTGCAGGCTAGGTGGGTTAGCCGTGGGAAATGTAGGGTTTCAGGGATAGGGCAGAACGATGGGTCGGGGTGGGGTGCACTTCAGATGGTCCGTGTGGATGGCCTTCAGATGGCCTGCTTCCATTGTGTAGGGATTCTGTGATTCTAAATTGCTCAAAAAAAGTCAAAAAATAAAATTAGAATCTGTGGAGTTGAGACAGCAGCATCACCTCCCCTTGCCTCTATAAGTTTAACCATGGACTGGTATCAGCCTGCACTCACCCCCACCACGCTCACTCTCCCATTGTCCCTTAGATGCCCTCCGTAATCATTGACTACCTCTCCCCTAACCTCCACTGATGCTTCTGTGGTACTCGATACCAGTTGATACTGATTAGGTTGGCCTGAATTATTACAGTGAGCCCTGAGGATGAACTTAGGATATATTGAGCTCGCACTTGGTCATGGGATGTAAATGTACCCAGCTCCCAGTGACTTGACCACCATAATCTGCCTGACATCCCTCATTCCAGGTAATGATCTGTACAGCTCAACTCTGCTCTGCAGACTGCATATTTCCATCGAGAAGCAAGGATATTAGCTGCAATTTCTTTAAAAAAATACGTTTTACAAAAGGGGAAAATGTACAATTCTTGCATTTAAAGGATTAGACCATTAAAAATAGTTG